GTCGCATATCCCGCCTCAAAAGGTACGGTAAGTTACTATTCATATATCGACCAACCGATCGCAACTCGAAAACCAACAACTCTTGTCAGAAGCTAGACTAAGAAGGAAGGTTGATTATAGGGTCATGCTCTCTTCCGTGACAATTGCGGTAACCGTCGGTCCACAAACACTAATACCCAAAGGGAAAGAGAGGTGCAACAGCTACTATATATAAGGACAAATGTGGAGGATAAACAGCACGAAGGACGATAGCATGAACCACTAAAATGGGTACTAAATCCCAGACTAGCGACAATCAGCCCATAACTTGAAACTTGAAACCAACCACAAATGAGATGATAATCCTCCACACTAGAACAAGTATAGATCGGGATCATGCATTACTGTACACTGACGATCGATATTGTATGCCACGCGAAGGTCAGGGTGCGAAACCAAAATCCCTACACAACGCTAAGACCCTGACCGCAGCAGCGGATCAAACAGCCCCTGGCTAGTGTAGCAAGCCATGCATCATCTGTATCTAACTTTGGAAACATGAGGCTGTAAGCCCTCCGAGATGCCGTCTCGATCCCCGAGGACTATGCCCGTTTCAAGTTTCAAATGTCATCGAGAAAATGCCTTGCAGTCCTGTTTCCGATGTTGATCCCCATAATCTGCAGCAAGCATATCTGGTGGATCGTGCGAGGCAGACTTCCTCCCCTTCCCCTCCCCCCACAATCACCCGCTCACAGGCCGTGATTTGTCGATGCGTAAAAAGGGTAACGGTCGCGATGTGACGGGCATCGGCATGGGTAATAGTAGAATGGAGTGAATATTCAAGGATATCCCTGCATAATCCAAGTTATAGAATATTATTGTTATTATTATTTTGTGCAGATTTACTATGCAGGGCGAAGGATTCATTCCAGAAGATCAGGGCGTGTTTCAAAATGCGATTCCACCAGTCTAGGTTCCCGGCTCCTGATGCTTGCCATGCCACGAGGACTATTCCCCGGGTATGCAGCGTAGTAACGGGTGCAGTGTAACACCCTCATGCATACACGAGACAGACGAGCAAGTAAGGGTTCAAGATATGGTATTACCCGGTTACCCAGATCATGTACAGTGTCACCCCAGACGAACTCCAATGACGTGGTTGTCCATTCACCCCATATGTTAAGGATCAGCATGGCGAAACAGCACCTGGGCAACTTAGGGCAAAATGCCAAGGTTGCCAAGATCACCGGGGTCCACTAGGCTGATTCCCCTCTCGGTTGAGTTCGGCTTGGATCTTTTGGTGCTTGAGGCTTTTTGGTTCCACCTAGATCACATATCCTTTCTTTTCTTTCTCTTTCCAAGGCTTAAGTTATATGGTATAGAAAATACAAAGAGAGAACAAGTAGCTTGGGTACCATTGCTGGATATTACACCATAAGCCTAAGACCCTTATACCGCTTAGCGTGTCCTAAAGCAGCTCGTGGGGAAAACCCGTTATGGAGCTTGGACGGGATTTGAAATGAAATAGGGCTTACATTGTCTACATACGTCCAATGAGCGGGCAAGGATGTTCGTACCGAAAATACCACATTTCGACCACTCATAGTGCTATCTCGAACCAACACGCCTCAGCCGCACTTGTTGTAATTTTAGTCTGATCATCCCGAGCGATCATGGCCATCTAATCTCAGTTAGTCTGTTGGTTTTATTTTTACTGTATTTTTATTCTCAATTTTGATTTCTTTTATTATTTTCTATTTTATTTTATTTTATTAATTTCAATTTACCCAAAGTCTATTAATCCCGTAGATCTGTAGGAAGAGGCCTTCCTAGTGCATATTGTTCCTCTATATCAGTCCACCTCTTTCCTGTGGTTTCAGGATCCTCTGCAAGCTTCTTCACACCTTCTTCAAACAGCCTCATACTTCTTAAATACCTCTCTTCCCTTCCCAGGATGCCCCGATCCTCAAACCGCAACCCAACTCAGATCACTTCTGTCTTGAACTCCCCTTCCATTTCTTCTCATTCTCCTTCGCCTGAACCTCGACAGCTTGCTCCCAGATCCAATATGGTGGGCCGAAAGAACATGCGCGCCAGCCCTCAGGTTGACGACTCGCGCGTGACCTATACTCCCACCACCCATCGCATTAGCAAGGCCAAGAAAGGCAAGCGCGTACATGCCTGCGAGTTCCCTGGATGTAGCAAGGTCAGTATACTTCAAATTTACCCAGATCGACATACTGACTTTAGTATAGGTCTTCACCAGAGCCGAGCACCGCAGACGTCACGAACTTAACCACAACCCCGAAGCTTCCTACCACTGTACACAATCCGGATGCAACAAGTCCTTCCACCGACCTGACCTGCTTGCGCGCCACATCGAGAGACAGTGAGTGACACCAGCTCCGGAGAAACAAAGCGCATACTGACAATGAGGTAGTGAACTCGACTCGCAAATCGAGCAACCCGCATGGACACCCAGCCAAGAAACTGTGACCCAATCCTCGATCCCGCGCTGCATGTCAATTGACCACGGAATGTCCATGACCGCAACCTCTCAGCCTCACAACATGTCCATCGGGTCCCTAGTGGCCCCCGGCATTCACCCGGACCTGGTTAACGACTGTTCACTCATGTGGAGCGGCGTCGACCTTCCTCTCCAGCCCCGGCCAACATTTCAGAATCAGCTCCCAGAGTCTACGGACGACAGCCCTTTCTATTCTTCTCCCGCAGAGACCTGCCCCTCGCCTCTGTCAGATGCGACATTCTCTCTTCCTCCCCACTCCAGCTCCTCTATCTCCTCCATCTCCTCTGCTTCGATCTCAGTCATCGACCAGTACCCAAAGAACATCCTAAAGGGCGATATCACTTCGTCTCCGCTGCAAATGCACACTCCGCTCCGCTGGGACGCCGATGCCGGCCTTCCTCCCTCCACCCTGGCCGCTATCTCAATGGGGGAGAATATGATTCAGCCAGTAAGTTCTCTATGCGTAATCTTACTATTATTATTTATTAACATATTCCGCAGCCCGTCCAATGTCACTACCCCTCTCCATCATGGTCTGGCACCGACTTTTCATACGATGACCAGCTCCCATCCATGCACCACTTCCAGCCCGTGAGCTGGAACATCTAAAGAGACGGTGTCTCGGAGGCCCATGTTGAGCATGGGTCAAATTTCACGACTTAACGAACATCCACACGGACTTTTGTCCGGGCCCGACTCCAGCTCATGTGGGCCCCAGTCCTGGATAGACCGACGGCTCTGAGGGTGGATCTGAGAGACCTTACTTTTTGAAGCGAAGCCTCAAAAGTCTCGACTCCAAATGACTCAACCATTATTTGTCATTGGGGCGCCAGTTCCACCTCATACCCGAAGCGCGACCACCCGAACTCCCCTAGAGGGTCCACCGGTCGCGGTCCCTCCAACATAGAAAACATGGGAAATAGGGGGACAAGAGTTTTCCCGGAACCCATTGTGTTGTGTTATTTCTTTTTTGTCTTTCTTTTGTTTTTTTCTCTTTTTCTTTCCTTGTGTGCTTGACGATACGATTATGACTTGGTGTCTCTGCGCAATTGTCTATACCTATACCCCTGTTGCAGACTTCTCTTCAACTATGTTTAAACATCTACAATACCCCCCACTGTCAATTAAATATGAAATCAAATCCAATCCAATCCACTTCCAATTCCAAACCAAACATTAATCGGAGTGTTCAGTTCACCCACGGCTGATCGCCATATCACCCACGGTATCATCTCCCCCTTTATGTGTTTACCCTCAACTTTATATCCACGTCTACCTTTAACCGTATAAGCCTGTGATCTACGGGGTTTATACCAACCAAAACCCGAATTCAACCCAAGAAGTACTCTACACACAGGCCAACATCCACAATCCTAACCCAATTCCGGCATACGGACCAAATCTGACCCTCAATAGGGTTCCCACTTTCCTCCCCTCCCGAACACTAACTCTCTCCCACCCGCGCCTCTCTCTCTCTCTCTCTGACTTTTCCGCCTAAAACTTAACGCAGATCCGCCCTTCCCTTCATTTCCTTTCATCTCAATCCATCGAGATTCGGATACTCGGATTGTTCTAAACCCGGTTCCACATACACATACGGGTCCAGCGGCAAGATCCCGAACTCCATTCAGAGCTGGGAAACGGGGAATGGAGACGGCCAATGGAGTACATACATGTAGGTGATGCGCCTGAGTCGCCCTTAGCCTTACATTTAGCTAGTACAGCATGCATGATTCAAGTCCGATAGAAGGATTAAACTAGGATTATAGCAGGGAATGAGGCCGATGCCTCCACTTCAATCGGTTCTTGAAACTGGCCTAGGTAGGCTTGGTCCACTTTGAGATCCCGTTGAATCTTAATTCTGTTTCTTGTTCCTTTTTTCTTTCTCTCTCTCTCTTTTTTCCTTTGGTACAGGATGTTTCATTTCAATGGCTGGTTTCATATGAGGCTTTTTTTTTCTCTCTCTCTTTCCCATTTCATATTGTCAGGGCAACTCTTAGATGGTGTTTTGTTTTGCAAATTTGCGGTGGGGACGCTCGTGACGTGCCGATCAGGGGGTTCGATTTGATCCCTATCACGCGGCGCTCTTTTCCGAACCCTTACTCGTGGGCTTATATTGTTGTTGTTCGTTTTTTTGTTCGTTCGGACCTGCCTTTTTCGGTGAGGATTTGCAAGTGCAAGTGTTGTTATTGATGGGTTAATTTGTGATATATCTGTTTACATGCAGATACAGTAGACGCAGTTGTTTAATGGTAGATGCTGATGTGATATCTATACCCGAATTGTGTGAAATTCGAAAATATGTGAACGGTGAACTACGACCGGTGTTTTAAATCCTGATATTCTTCTGACATGTGTCACGTAACGGCCAAACTCTTGAGCATGTCGATCAACGCGTCTATTTATAGTACGTCGCGCATATCTCCCGTCGGCTCGTTTTCTGTCCAAGCTAGCCCAGGACCGAGAATAAGAACTCAAATGTCAAAAGTCGAGCTTACCCTAATATCAGCCGATGATGCACAAACATGAACGGAAAACGTTCCGTTAGGGGTAACCCATGTCTGCTTCATAACGTTCCAGTAGCTGATATCCTTCCGGGTAGGGTAAATCTTGCGGGTTTGAGTTTCTCCATCGCGGATGGGGATAGAGACGAAGCCCCGGAGGACCTTGGTTGGATTTCCCGCTTGCTTGGGCATTTCGAGATAAAAGCTGTGAGATTTCAGTGCCGTCATAGGGTCCTTCGTTTCGAATCGTCACCTCGGCGATGATTGCCACGTCGTATAGCGCCATATCTCCTCCTGGTGCATTTCCAACATATTCAATTGGGGTTTCCAGGGCCGCAGCGAGCCCACCATGCTTTGAGACCTCTAGACTCGTGTAGGTGAATGCCGAATAGGATAGACCATGGCCGAATGCAAAGGGAGGATTGATGCCGTTCCTTATATACTAATAAATATTCAGAAATGGATCGACCACCCCAACGTTACAGCTGTCGTCTGGGCCAATCTGGGTGGCCAAGAGCTCGACCCTGCCTTAGTTGACATCCTCTACGGCGACGTGTACCCATCCGGCAGACTAGTCTACACAATCGCGAAGACCTCAAGGACTATGCCCAGCCGGATATCGTCACGAATCCACAGCCATACCCCAGATAAACTATACGGAGGGTGTATTGGTTGACTATCGAGGATTCAAAATGGGCTTCGTGTCAATGCACGCACCTCCATGTCAACAGGGCCGACTGATTCAACAACCACAATTGTGGTGTCACAGTTGTCCGCAACAGTATTAACCAGCGCGTCACCTCTGTGCATAAGGGCTATATTTCGATCGACACCTTCGCCTGAAGACGAAGCCACAACGGGGATGCATACTGTGCCGCGTTTGGCTACAGTCTTGGCGAATGTTAGATTAGAGCTCAAAGACCAATCGACAAGTGTAAGGTCTTGATTTGATCGCGTTTGGATTACGCTTAAAGGATCAATTAGGCGAGGATTTATGGAATCTGATCAGTATTTAGAGCAAGGGGGAGAGGAGGTAAGAACTGACAGAATGTTGGGCCCGAGCCTGATCCTTCAGCTAGCGTTCCTTGACCAATACCAATGGAAAGGGAATCACCGACTTAGCCATTCACAGTATTCCAGTCCGAAGACAAAACACCATTCACATAACCATATTGGTTCGGTCCGTACGGATTAGGCCCAGCGGCTTGTCCAAAGAGAGTGATCGTAGTAGGTTTCTTCAAAGGCAGTCCACGTTTGTGACACCTGGGGGAAATCCCGTTGCATACGAATGTGAATTTCCAATGCCTATGTCACTGTCGATGTAGCAAAGGTCAGTGAAGTTTAGACGAGGGATTTGCTGGGTTTGGCCCTGGCATAGGAGATCCGGCTTGTCTGGGTTACTGTAGAAGATTAGACATAATGTTTCGCCATCGCCTTTTATAGTAGAGAAGGATCACTTACGGAGGGAAGCCATTGCCAGTACAGAGGCCGGCCTTCTCTTCAATGGTCAGCTGGGTGACAAGAAGCGTTTTGCTTTCGTAATAGCAATATCCCATCCACCAATCCCCGTAGCATTGGGACTGGGGTAAGAATAAGGAGAGTCGGGTTCACGGGGGTAGAAAGAATCTGGCTCAACGTTCTTGGGGTCTCCTTGTGCAGCAGCTATTGAGGCAAGCCACAGTACCAAAGCAATACTGGAAGACAGCATGATCTGAGTCTGAGATGGGCAAGATATAGATGAAGCTTCTACTGGACTTTATTCCGGCGTCATCGTAGGCCTAAATAGGTTGTTTTATGTGGGGAAATCGGCTCATGGTTCGCCGATTGCCGTCCTATGCACATATACCCCGGAATTTCTATCCTTGAGCCTTGAGGTTGTGGGGAAGATGCGGGGTGCAAGTGATACTATCGGTCGTCGCATTTCCCTTTGGAAAGTGACAAAAAGATTATGCATGATGAAATAAATGAAGCATCAAGTCAACGCTTGAGGTTGGCCTGAAATTTCGGGGAGTGTCGGACATCTCCACATCTCCAGCGGAAGTGAAGAAAATCACGGGGGTGGGGAGCCCGGCAATTGCGATGACTGTGGAGTTAGAAATATCCCACCAAATACAACTTGACGGCTATCGTGAGTGTCCGAGTGAAGGCATCTCGGGATAGTTTCGGCAGCTCACGTGGACTCGACCCCCACCAGAACGTCATCCGAAAACCAACATCTTCAATTCTTCCTACTTATATCCTTTCGCTTATTTCACTTTGAATTCTAGAATTGTCGCCTTTGACTGCACATTGGAAACGGAAATATCAAAAATGACCAACAAAATTCTTCGTGTTGGAGTGATCGGGTCAGAAAGAGCCCCCCAAGTAGCACATTCAAGACTAACATCGTCCAGATGCGGTGAAATCACCCAAGTCGCCCATATTCCAACTCTTGGGTTCCTCTCAGACTACTTCCAGATCACCTACCTCTGTGATGTCTCTGAAAATGCCCTCCAACACAGTAAAAACAAGGTCATTGGAGGCCCACCCAAAACTACTTGCAAAGCTGAAGAGCTCTGTGCTAGTACCGACGTGGACATTGTGATGATTGCCAACAGCGATGCTTTCCATGTACCCCACGCCTTGTTGGGCCTGAAACATGACAAAATCGTCTTCATTGAAAAGCCCATGGCCTTGTCGTTGAAAGATGCCGACGACATCATCCAGCTTGAGAAACAATCATCTGGAAAGGTGATGGTCGGATACATGAGACGTTACACGGCTGGATTCATCGACGCAATCAAGGAAATTGGCAGTCTTGACCAGATCCAATATGCACGCGTGCGGGACGTTGTTGGCCCCAACTCCTCTTTTGTTGGCCAGTCGGGCACTTTCCCCAAGGCCTTCTCCGACTACAAACCTGAAGATTCCAGGGAATTGACCTCTAGAACGGACCAGTTTCTTCAGCAGGCTTTGACAAAGGAGCTTGGCATTCCCGTTGGCCCGGATACTGCCACTCAATGGAGACATTTGGGCAGCCTTGGCTCGCACGATCTAAGTGCGATGAGAGAGGCTCTCGGTATGCCAACGGGAGTGCTCGGTGCTTCTTTGTGCACCGCTCAAGGACCTCAATTCTGGAGGTACGTATCTCCGCATCTACTTCGCACACAATTCTAACCTTTCATCCCAGTGCTCTCTTCCAGTATCCCTCTTTTGCTGTATCATATGAATCAGGTATTGATGAAGTACCCCGTTTCGACGCATCCATTGAGGTCTTTGGCAAGCAGAAAACTGTGAAGGTTTGTTTCGATTCTCCTTACGTCAAGGGATTGCCAACCACCATGCACATCCGCGAGAAACTTGAAGATGGATCCTTCCGGGAGTCTATGACGAGAAAGACTTATGAAGACGCCTATACTTTGGAGATGAAGGAGCTCTATGAATTTGCGGTCAATGGCAAGCCGGCTAAGACCACGTCCGAGGATGCTAAGAAGGACTTGGAAGTGTTTGGTATGATCATGAAGGCAGGATTAGAAGGACAGGCTAGGTTAGGTATCAAGAACTAGTGGCTTGCTTTCAGTGGATGTGAACCCTTTGTCTTCATGCTGTATTTAATCCTGAAATATCAACTACATAGAGAACATAGAGAATATGGAAACAATTGCAGGCAATGATCATTGACTTTCAATAACTTAGAGCTAAGGCATGTGGTCTAGCACTAAGATACCAAATCCCGACGGAATGATATCAACCGCTTGGTGCAGTTTCTCACAGCAACCCAAAAAGTGCGGAGTCTGGTGTGAACAAAGTGAACAAAGTGGTGTGAACAAAGTGGTGTGAACAAAGTGGTGTGAACAAAGTGGTGTGAACAAAGTGGTGTGAACAAAGTGGTGTGAACAAAGTGGTGACAGTTAGCATCCGATCAAGAATTCTCTCGCAGTGTTTTAGGGGATAGAGTGCTCTTACCACAAGACAAGACCCTTCATCCCAAACCAACCCCTCTTGAACAGCACACCGTGCATAATTCCTCAGCTCCTTCTCATCCACAATTGGGTTCTTAATATGCACCAGAAGAAAGAACTGTTCCATCAATTCCGGCACCTTATCCTCCTGAAACCCAAACTTGATGCGCTTTGATTTCTCCTGCATGTGCTGCAGACTTTGCGGACTCGGTCCAAAAACAGCATCTTGCAGACAATTCTTGGGATATCTTTCATGGAGGACAGGCCACATAACGACATTATCTGGGTTTGTATAGGATGACGGAAAGCCGAAGCTGTCCACCACAAGATCCCCATTCGAGAATCTGGTAGCATTGGAATCTTGCAAAGAAACTGTCTGAGGCGATGTGTATGATGGTGTCGAATGTGGATTCGATAAAGTCAAAGAAGTACCACTATTTTTAGCTTGTACGGCATTCATTACATCCAGTTGTGAGGCCAAATGCGATTTAACCGATCGATGATTTCCAGGCTAGCTGGATCGAACCTGAGCTGGATAGTTAGTCATCACATATCGGCGTATTAGGGAGATAGATATCCGCACGATGAATGATCGTTTCGATCTGTATACTCGCATGGAGCCCGGACAGATAGACAGATCCGGCAACTGGGACGCTGGTTATCGCACTTTGTCTTGCGAGCGCGACAAAGCTGACATGCAGTCACGGCTCTGTTGCGGGAATACCGCATGGCACTGTTTCTTGAATTGAAATCCATGATCGATGTGCATCTATGAGACGCGGAGTTTCGGCTTCGGGGCATATTACAATGCGGGGATAATGGTACACGTAATCCGGGGAATATCTTGGATGGCTTCTATATCTTCACGTTATGAGGTTGACCGTGTGATTGTTAGATGCGAAAGGAAAACTGGCCGTACGCTCTCCTGGTTGCCTTATACGGCTATCGGCCGACGCCTAGGATACCTCTCATTGTTCTGAGGCAGCCGGAATAGACCAGGAAAAAACTACCAAGGCCTTACAAACGACGGAATTAGACTGATAAGCATATCCATTCTCACATTAAGTACAGTTGATTGATCTTCTCTATTTGAAGTGACCTATTCCCAGATCCGATCCTTCGAGGGCAAAATGCGAACAAATAGCCCAGACCAGGACCGATAGGCAAAAGATCCGACCGAAAACAGGAGAAGAGATCAGAAGAGGAAAGAAAAGTAAAAAGAATCACATCCAAGGAATGGTCTGCTCATGGAAACGAGAAAAACGAGCATTGATAGGGCCGAAAAAAAAAAAAAGAAAACGCCTTTTCAGATACAAGCCGTCCATTGCCACCGAGGAATTGCAGTGCCAAACAAGTTGGAACGATTAAACTGTTGGAGAGTCCCGGTGAACAGTTACCCAGTTGTAGGTGTTGAGAACCGTATCGGATCGCATGGCAGCGCCGTCGCTTGTTGACGCAGCATGTTCCAGGGTACGGCGAAAGAGACAGAAATCACAAACTATGACACCAAGTCGAGTCGAGCCTGATGCCTTTCGGATATCACAACTCCGGTAAAGAACCCGAGGAACAATAATGACAGCAGTCTCGTAAAGCAGATAGAGGGAGAAAGAACATAGGTCGCTAATACTGAGGAGAGAGGAGGATGAGGAGAGGGATGCGTAAATCAATTGGAGAGGTGGTTTAGCGATCGGGGTTCGTCACCTAAATGAGAGTAAGCATTTGTAGAAAGCGACGGGTTCACGGGTTTATTTACCTGCAGGATCCGACGAGAGAAGTCGTGGTCGTCATCAATGCTGCCATTGCTTTGGCGGCGCTGTGCCATGTAGTCGCCATCGAACCGAGAGTCGGTCATCGAGGGCGGGCTCGAGTCGCGGCCGTAGCCGCCAGTGGTGCCACCACCGAACGCAGTGTTGGTCTTGTTCTTCTTGGACCGCCAGAAGAAGAAAGCAGCACCACAAAGGGCGGCGAATCCAACGACACCAATCACGACTCCGGCTGCGATCGCAGCAGTGTTGTGACTGCTCTTTGTCTTTGCCTCAACAGATGCACTTGCGCTGCTCTCTTTGGGGGATGTCACTTCAGTTGTCTGTTGACTAGATGTGGACGAAACAGCGGTGCTAGCGGCATCGGTTTTCGTGGTGCTCGATCCGCCGCTGCTGGTGGTAGTGGTTGAGCTAGATTCAGAATAGGTTGGGACATCCTCTTCATAGTTCGTGGTGTAGATGGAGTAGTAGTCGGTGCCACCGCCTATTCAATGGGGTTAGTAAATCAAGTGCGCAAGGTCAGGTAATGTTACATACACATATCTGAGGGCCAACCAGTGCATGCCTTGTTGCACTTGCCGCTGTCCACCTTGTCGCTGTCGGGTGGTAGCGTGTCACCGCACATACAGGTCGAGCCGCCTGTCAGAGCAAATGCAGCGCTGTTGGCGCTGTAACACTTGTTCAAACACCAACCAGAACTCTGGTAGGTGTAGTCCTTTGATGAACCATAACCAGGAGCGCTGGAGTAGCAACCGACGAGTTTTCCGTTGGCTGAGCCGCGAGGAATAACCTTGAAGCCGTCCTGAGCTACTGAGCTGGCCGCAAAGAGGGCAGTCGACACCACAAGGGTGCTCTGTGTGTTGAAAAGCATGATGAGATGGCAAGGGTAAGAGTGAGGCCGAGTATCGGAAGGAAGAAAGTAAACACCGCTGGACACAGTCGCAAGGGTGATCAGAGAAGAAATGGGGACGGCCTGCGTAACCCTAAAGAACTTCTGTCTGTTGGATGGTCGTTTGTTGTCAAACTGTCCACGACGTTTGCTCCGGTTTCGATCAGATGCTGAGACGTATCCGACAGAAACAAATCGAGTGTTGAAGAGAAATGACGCTCGGAAGAAAGGAAGGGAAAGTGACGGTTTCGCGTGGAGGCTTCGGTATTGAGGAGTTCACCCCCTATCGGGTTAGGTGAGAGTGAGCGACCGTAAAATTCGAAGCGGTTCGGTTCAGAACCGGGACTCTCCTGAAGAGTAAACGAGTGATAAATTCGAGTCGGAAACGAATGTGTGTGAAGGGAGAGAAGGAAAGAAGGTGGTGATGGATCCCTTGAGAAAGGGACAAGGGGGGTCAGTGTGCCCCAGAGAAGGTATGAGGTACCTGTGATACGGGGGAAACGCCCTAGTGGTCTCGAGTACCGAGTACATTCAGCTCTGACACTACACGGGGGTCTTTGTTTGTTGTATTGTTCAGTACCGTGTACCCCAGCCGTGAACCAATCATAGGGCAGTACCCTGCTTGGTCATCAGGCACCCGTGCTGGCTAACCAGGGGACTCTGTTGATCTATTTCCCTTTTGGGAAAACACGGGCCGGGATGGAACCTTGGGCATGCCGCTAGTCCGTTTTGGGTGCCAAGTAACGATGATGAGACCGTCTTTGATACTCTTTGATACTGTAAGATCAGCATCGCCACAGTCCCTTGATGTCTATTTACACATGTGTGTTCGGTTATAAGTTAAGTTACAGGCCCTGTGACCTTTACCATGGGGTTCGTAACAACTTAGTTGCCCCATATGACAGTTTTCCAGCCGAGCTTTGCGGCAAATTACAGGGAGATTAGTTCCAGCGGAGCCGTTAATCCGTGACAGGCGCTAACACCTGAGAAATCAAACCCTGCATAGTTCAACATTGCGTACTCCCCCGGAGTAAGTGTGTGTCGCTTCCAACAGAGATCATATTTCCTCTACCTCATTTCCATGGGTATCCAGCGGTCGCTCCCGAGTGGATCCGAATTGTTTTTTTCTCTGGTCCCTGTAACGCACAATTTACCCACATCCACGCAATTTACTGGATTTGAGAGATCTACATCCAACCTTAGGGCTTGTATTGAACCCTTTACTTGAACTTGTACTTTATCTCCCTTGACTCCTCGGGGGTTATTTGAACCACATTAATAGCTCCGAAACTTCCGATCTGTGTACTGTATGCAGAGATACTGTATATCACTCGGTAGAACCCGGCTCGAAAGTCGTTATGTATCGGCTGTACCTTGCAGATCGAAATCCCTAGCAATGACCTGAGCCACAGTTTGTGTTCCCCATTTACCTTGTACAGTATCTCAATCTCACACACCTGAATCAGATGAAACTTAAAGTAGCTGCCAAGCCATGCTGAACAATATCTAACTTACCTCCCAACAAACAATACACACCATATCTTTTGCTAGAACTTAGTCCATACTATACTATCTTATCACTTGATCCCGTCCAATGACCTCTTCTAGTTCATATCACGCAAGCCACCAAAAAAGTACAATACTCCATACAGAGTGAGACATATTGCCAATAATCTGCCAGGACCCGAGATCCGAACATTAAGTTGGACCGAGTAACCGGGCCTTTGAAAAGGTCCAAATACTCCGTACATGGTCACCATAAGCCGTACAAAATACGGGTAAGTAAATAATCATCCTCAAGCATAAATCTAAACATAAACACAAGCATATGGAAATGTCTAGACCTGCCCACGCATATATTCCTAGCCCAGTGGCGTCCGCTAGACCAGCTGAATTCCCCACCTGCCACAACAAAACAGGCACCCCTTACCGGGGCATGGCAACATCAGAATTGAAACTAGAATGGGAAGATACTGTACATCGGAAAGACTCTAACGTTATTTCGAACCATGTACATGTACTTGGCTGCATGCAAACGCCAGTTCGACGTGTGTGAACTGTGAGGAGTGACATCAAACTGAAACTTGCGTGGTCTAGAACCTCTAGAACACGATTTGACCCACGATGCGCAGACCCTGCAGAAGATCCGAGTCTGGCCAGTTTTTCGGGCAAATATTGGCTGCTATTATTATCGGTGCTAAAAATTCAGATCTGTGCTGTGACACTGTCTATTCTAGACTGTCGATTTATGATTCATCGGGAATACCTGGCTCGGTCATTATACGTTACATTGGTGACCTACAATTTCAAGAATTCATCGCAGACTCTATGGTTATTTCTAGTGCAATGATTCAATTTTTCTCAGGAATAGTTCTAGTGTCCTCGGGCTTCCCGTAGTATTCGATGTTTTCCACAATATATATGAACACCGGCTGAAATATATATAGCATGACCTGTGACAATCCTTTGGCCTGAAAAACAAATATATCTATAGAACCAATACGAATACGCTCGAAAGCCTCAAATATAAGAATGTCTCGCACATAGCTCTATTAATCTTAGAGGCATTTACAACCATTATTTTCCTCATGCCCACGGAACCACCGGATATATGCTCGCCAAAACTTGCCGAATCCATAGAGCGACATGACGGAACTCCTGTCAAGACTACCATTTTAGCATAGCAACTTTGTCCGTCATTTAAATTCGGAATGAAGTTGCCTGTGTCACTATTTGGATGGCTTGCACTCCGATGGTTGCATCGACGGCATGTACAGCGACAGGAGGAGCTCAGGGCGTCTGGCGCTCGTATTTTCTCGTTGTCATGTTTGGAGTGAAACTGAGTCCTGTGAGTTCTGTACATCTAATAGCTTAGAAGTATAGCATCACTTGGATGAACTACGTAGGCATATTCTTTGTAGCGTTCAATACAATAGAGACCGGTGCCAGATTGTCCTGATTATTAGGCTCTACCTAGGTCATGCGAAGATTATGTCAGTATTGCGTGTTATGCTTCATTCCAGAGGTCGCTGCACCAGGTGGTTATATAAGGTTGATGTAAGACCCATGGTGTTAAAGCTCTGGAACCTAAGAATGACGACCATCAACAACGCTGAAGCTTAGGACAGCGGTTTCTCTATTTTTATTTGTTGACACTGTTGGGACTTCCCTCGGTATCTACTCAAAGCCATACTGCATGGCCACGGCCAATGTATGCAATCGAAATCAGATTAATCATCCTCATTTAAGCGTATCGAGGTTATGCTATAGCCTGCCCACAAGCGACAGCCCCGATATTTATTTTCATTTAGCTGTCCAAGTTGAAGGGGACAACAGTTCCCGGCATTGCTCGCCAACAGTATATGCCGGGCCAAGGTGAATTCGACCTTATGGCTTGGGAATATGTATGGACTTGCTGACCATCAAGCATCCGTGCAAGACGAACATGAGCACAACGGGATGGAACTCGAAAATCGTGCCTTCGGCGAAAAGACCAAGAGGGATGTTTTCGTGTGTCCAGCTTTGGGAGACCCAGTAGGCCATGAGGGAGGCGATTGAGAGAGTGGTCGGGATAGGAGTGCCTTCAAAGTACTTGGACTTGCCGCTCTTGTCCTTCGGTAGAACGGCCACAGTCACGTTGAATCGGGCCAGGCGAGTAAGGCCGCAGAGAACGAAGAATGCGAGGAAGACGTGATCAAGCGAGGTGCGGATACCCAGGGCGAAAGCGGCGGCAGCAGGGGCGAGGCCGAAGGAGATCTATACGAGGCCGAAGAGTTAGTTGGATTGTGGTTAACCTCTTCCTTGGGTTCATTTACCAGGTCCGCTAGGGAGTCAAGCTCCTGTCCCATGAGAGACGACTTCTTGCGCCAACGGGCAATCTTTCCGTCCATAAAGTCGAAGAACAGACCGAAAGGCATGAACGCTAGGGCAGCCCAGATAGCACCATATTCAGTTGGCTCACCGAGGCAGTAGCGCATGGAAGAGAAGACCGACATCACTGCTCTACATGTTAGTCGCTGATCGTCAAACTGTTGGGAAATACGAGCTTGCCTCCACAGAAACCTAGGGAAAAGAGTTAGCGATTTGATTTCTCAGAAGCTTCCGATACATCAAAGGTATCTTACCATTCATCTCAGTGACCAGATCGGCAAGATGCAGGGCCCTGTTGAGCATTAGGTTGAGTCGAGAGCGAGGGGGCAAAAGTTGGCGGAACTGACTTCACGAGGCTGAAATGACCTTGTTCGGAGGAGAGAAGCATTTTCTGCTTCTCTTGGCCTGCAAACTATAAGCTGGATGGCCTCTGTAGGATCGAACTGAGCTCTAACGTACCTCCGTCACCTGAAGGTGGGACACCGCTGTTGGAATCGCTGGATGCCATGGTCGACGTCCGGCGAGACATGCTCAAGTGGATATCAAATAGTATGGAATGTACGGCAGACGGGATATTTGCTGCAATATGAGGCGCAAGAGGTAAGACTGAGGGCTAAGAGGGAATAAAATTGGCGTAAATCCTGCTTCAAGTGTTGACAGACGCACAGATTCGCAGAGCGGTCAACGTCATTTCTAACCTGCAGAAAGCGGAGGCGGTGCAGCTGCGCCACATCCACACCAGCCACACATGTCTTCAATCTACGACGATGAATTTTAGTCTTATGCTAACCCCATTGAACCAAATTGAACCATAATATTTTTGACTGGTGATATTCTACAGCCTGCAGCCAGTGAAGCAGCAAATTGCGCAGGATGCACAAGGAAATGTTTCCTGAAAAAGCTCCCGATTCCCCCAAACGCCGTAAGAAGACAGTACATAGTATCACGGACTCTCTAACCGCGACCACGGAAGCCACCACCGCGGGGACCACCACGGCCACGAGAGAAGCCGCCGCCGCCACCACGGCCACCGAAACCACCACCACCACCGCGAGAGAAGCCACCACGGCCTCCACGGGGGGCACCACCGCGACCACCGCGGGAGAAACCACCACCACGGCCACCGCCGAAGCCACCGCGACCACCACCGCGGGCGCCACCACGAGCACCACCGGCGCGCTTGACCTTAGGTCCGGGGGGAGCCTTGGGCTTGGGAAGGAACCTGATTGGAAGGTTAGTCAGAGCGCGAGGGAATTCGGATGCATGTGAAACATACTTCTCGAGAGGAAGGAGCTTGTCGCCTCCGATGTAGACCTTGTCACCGGGCTTGAACGAAGTTGCGACGATACCCTCCTGGGGCTTGACGGTGAAGTAGACCTGGTTGATGGGGCCGAGGACCTCGTCGACCTTACCAATGGGAGTCTATCAAGACAAGTTAGATTTATGTTTGCCAATTGTATTGATTGTTCGGTGGGGTTGTGGCGTACCTTGTTCTCGAGGTAGATCGGGGCGTTGAAGTAGGGGATCTTGGGGTTGATCGACTCGCAGACCATCTCACCCTCACAAGAGTGCATCACTGATCCCATCTCTATCGGAAAATCAGCGACATAATTTCAATGTTGTAGGATCAGATATAATTACCCAGAACCTGAGCTGGGGGACCGAACGACGGTTGGAAACCTCCGCGACCTGGAACAAAAAAATTTCGTTAGCTCCTTTTGATCTTTTGATTCCCAGAAAGTTGTGATAATTGCTCACCACCACGGCTACCGAAACCTCCCCGGTTGGCACCGGAAGCACTACCACGACCACGGAAAGACATTTTGTGGTGTTATCGGGGGACTGTCGGCTTGTAGTAGCTGGTGAAGTTTTCGCTTAGTGGAAACTTGAAGCGGTAAGTCGCTAAGGGCAGTACCCACACGTGACCCCGTGACTCACCGCCCTCACGAAGAGTCATTTTCCCCTCCATACGGAGTGTAAACGAACCAGCTTTGTTTTCGTTCACAGTTCAATTACCCTGTGACACTACGCAGAGGTTTCTCAAAATGGCCTCCGAAGCCCCCAAGGATATTCCTGTGCGGCCTGCCGCCGACGCGCAGGCCTCTGAAGCCGCTGCCCCGCCAAATGCTGCGAAAAAGCATGCCCCGAGCCCCGATGTTCTCCCAGAATTCATGATTGAGCGAAACAAGCTCTTCGAGGAACTCTGGCAACAATATCTTGAAGAGACCAAGAACCGCCCTCACCCCGAAATCACCGTTTCCCTTGACATTGGCGACGGCAACCTCTCTTCGGTCCCTGCCAAAGCCTTCGAGACCACTCCTGGTTCTTTCCTGCGCGATGTTCCCAAGGATATCGCTGCCAATGTTGTCATAGCCAAAATTGACGATAAGGAGTTGTGGGACCTGAATCGTCCTCTGGAGAAGGACTGCAAGGTTCTTCTTGTTCCTTTCAGCAACCCCGAGGCCCGTGAGGTCTTCTGGCACTCCAGTGCTCACTGTCTGGGTGAGGCATGTGAATGTGAATATGGCTGTCTTCTTTCCCATGGTCCCCCTACCCCCCAGGGTTTCTTCTACGATATGGCCATGCCCGATGGGTACGTTTATCCCGGTTCTTCACAATTGTGCCAATGCTAATATCATGGGGACACAGACGGGTTGTTCGCGAGAGTGATTGGAAAGCGCTCGACAACAAGGCCTCGCGCATCTTCAAGGAGAAGCAAAGCTTCGACCGATTGGAGGTTTCCAAGGAGAACCTCAAGAAGATGTTCGCATACAGCAAATACAAGTTGCACTACATTGATAAGCTCGTCACTGGTGAGAGCAGCACCGTCTACCGTTGCGGAACCCTTGTCGATCTCTGCCGAGGCCCTCACATTCAAAACACTGGCAAGATCAAGACCTTCAAGATCATGCAGGTAAGCGTGGCCATGTGAGGTTATGATGAGATCTCCATACTGATAGCATTCCAGAACTCATCTGCCTACTTCCTTGGTGACCAGAGCAACGATTCCCTGCAGCGTATCCGTGGTGTTGCTTTCCCCGATAAGAAGGCAATGGCCGAGCACCTGAAGTTCTTGGAAGAGGCTGAGCGCCGTAACCACTTGCGAATTGGAAAAGAGCAAGAGTTGTTCTTCTTCGATGAAGCGTCTCCCGGATGTCCTTTCCTCCTCCCCAACGGAACCAAGATTCTCAACCAAATTCAGTCCCTCCTGCGTACTGAGTACCGCAAGCGCGGCTACCAGGAAGTCCAGACCCCCAACATGTTCGATGTTTCCATCTGGAAGACCTCTGGTCACTGGGCTCACTATAAGGATGACATGTTCAAGTTGGACGTGGAGAAACGCGAGTGGGCTCTTAAGCCTATGAACTGCCCTGGTCACTTTCTTCTCTTCGGCCACCGTGAACGTAGTTACCGTGAGCTGCCTATGCGTCTTGCAGACTTTGGAGTGGTAAGTTTGACATTGAGTGCTATCCAAGTTTCGATATTGCAGCAATACTAACCAAAATCGAAAAATAGCTTCATCGTAACGAGAGCAGCGGGGCTTTATCAGGCTTGACGCGTGTACGCCGCTTTTGCCAAGATGATGCGCACATCCTGGTTGAGCCGCACCAGATTATGTCTGAAGTTGAGGGTCTGTTCGATTTCTTGCAGTCCATCTATGGGCTGTTTGGCTTCACCTTCAAGTTGAAGCTGTCCACCCGCCCCGAGAAGTATATGGGCTCGTTGGAGACCTGGAACCAAGCCGAGGAGCAGCTCAAGAAGGCCTTGACCAAATTCAAGGGTAATGATTGGGTCATTGACGAGGGTGATGGTGCCTTCTACGGCCCAAAAATAGACATCACCATCGCTGACGCGCTGAGGAGAAATCACCAATGTGCATTCAGCTGGACTATCAAGCTCCGCTGAACTTCAAACTGGAGTATCAGACCAACGAAAAGCGGGAGAAGAACACCGAGGAGGACGCGAAGGAAGGCGAGACCAAGTCCGACGGGCTGCCCTTCGGCCGTGCCCGTCCTGTTGTCATTCACCGTGCTATTATTGGTAGCTTCGAGCGATTCCTTGGTATCTTGACCGAGCACTTTGGCGGCAAGTGGCCGTTCTGGATCAGTCCGCGCCAGATCCTCATTGTGCCAGTGATGCCGGCTCTGAACGACTACGCCGAGGAGCTGCAGCGTATCCTGCAAGGTGACAAGCTGAATGTGGACGTGGACATCAGTGGCAACACCCTGCAGAAGAAGATTCGTACTGGCCAATTGGCCCAGTACAACTTCATCTTTGTTGTGGGAGCGCAGGAGCGTGAATCTGGCACTGTTAATATTCGTAACAGAGACGATCCCGCAAGCCAAAGCAAGGGCGTCATGGTCCCTCTGGAGGAGGCACGAGTCAAGCTCCGGGCATTGCGCAAGGAGCGTCGGTTGGAGAACACTCTGTAGGGGACATGTTACCGATTTACGAAAAATGAAATGAAGTTACATGCGGATATTCTACAGATGCTACTAAATATATCCCATACATAGCTGATGTAGAGTAATCAAGGTCTGCGTTAAGCCAGGAACGTGGTACCCTCAAAGCGAACACACCTTGGGTAGATCGACATCTTCCTGACTTTACAGAGGGGAGTGCCTAGTCGAATTTTAGCCTACTTGAGAGCAGCAAGCCTTTGTCAAAAGAGTAAGTTCGTGCTAAGATACTAAGCAGGAGTGAAGAAGAAAAGAAGGAGAGGCTCGAAGCTAATGTGCTGTAGGCATGAATACTGCAAGGTTTGAAGGCCCGATATATGATCCGAATATATTGGGTAATATTGCGTATTTAACGTAAGATTACTAAGAAGAATTCGCCCAACAAATTCCTTTTTTTTTTACAGAATACAATGCAAAAGTTCTTGACACTTCCAATGGTCAGATCAATTCGTTGGTTTGACATGTAAAACGAGTCTCCAACCGGCCAATCAGAATCCACCACCTTCACCGCCTTCGTATATCAGCCAATATATTACAAGTATCAGACTTTCTAAATTTGACTTTATAGAAAGAAAGCTTTAAAACCCTTTCGGGGGTTGAATACAGCGATGACCTTATGTATATATACAGATAAGGATAGGTGCCATCCTCTGGTTCCTCAGGTTTCTTTAACCATTCTACTACCACTTTTTCATGGGGACATATGAAGCGTACCAGTTGACACGATGAGAGGAAGATAAACGATAGGCGGTACCTATATGTTGTATATCTGAGTTTCCCTGAACACGAGGAGGCTACTCTTATTTTGCTCCCTCACGCTACGTCTTGTATCTTAAGTCCACTATAGCTCTTTTTACTATTGATCATTCATCTTGAAGACGCTGTCTACTTTTATGTATACGTGGGACCCTTATAGGTATCTTCGCTGTTCCTGGGAGGTTCCTTATACCTTGCTATGAGCACTGAATGGTTTCCAGGACTTTGGTACGTCCTTCTAGGAACACTATAAGTTAGTTCCTAGGTACCCGCTTTTCGCGTTTTGGGATTCCTCCACTAGTCCCCAGGAGTCTATGAAACTATTCTAGGAATCGTGTTAGGTCCATCCTTATCTCTCAATCTCTTCCCATTCAATTTCTAGGAATCTATTATTATGTCTCGCCTTCCTTCGCGTCCTCCTCGGTGTTCTTCTCCCGCTTTTCGTTGGTCTGATACTCCAGTTTGAAGTTCAGCGGAGCTTGATAGTCCAGCTGAATGCACATTGGTGATTTCTCCTCAGCGCGTCAGCGATGGTGATGTCTATTTTTGGGCCGTAGAAGGCACCATCACCCTCGTCAATGACCCAATCATTACCCTTGAATTTGGTCAAGGCCTTCTTGAGCTGCTCCTCGGCTTGGTTCCAGGTCTCCAACGAGCCCATATACTTCTCGGGGCGGGTGGACAGTTTCAACTTGAAGGTGAAGAAGCCAAACAGCCCATAGATAGACTGCAAGAAATCGAACAGACCCTCCACTTCAGACATAATTTGGTGAGAGCCGCAACTAGGAGGTGCGCATCATCTTGACAGAATCTACGTACACGGGTCAACCCAGAGAGAGAACCACTCTGTTCGTTGCGACCTAATTTCGGTTTTGATTAGTATTGCTGCAATATCGAAACTTGGATAGCACTCAATGTCGTTGCTTTTTATCCTGTTCGTTAGTCACTTAGGGGTATATCACTTCACCCTAGCTAGCCTTTTCTATCGCAGTTTGTACATAGCTCCGATCTCGTTTCACTGGTTCCCCTTTCTCAGTCCAAGTGGCATTGGTTTCAGGTGGACTAGGTGCTATCAGCTCCTGCACGTTAGGTGGACGAGGTGTCGATGGCTTCTGTACGTCCCACCCCTCCATCTATCAAGGTTGTTAAGTGAAGATAGGTTGTTGTGTAGATTCTCGACTTTCACAGTGTCATGGCCTCGCGGTTGAGTGTCAGCTGTTGGGTTTGCCGAGAGCTGCGGTCTTCCTTCGCAAAGTGTCCTGGTTTTCTGCAGTTATAGCATCGCTTAGCGTCTCTTCGTCATTTCTGTTCTTCGTAAGGAGTCTGGCGGCGTCTAGCTCCATTAGTTGTAGTCCGTAATGATCCTCTTTGCATGTTCTGGCTTCAGTCAACCGGAATAACTTTTGTATTGCCTGGTTTATCACACCTTCTGTTGAGATGGGGATCTTGGATACCGCGGTCTTGTGTCTGTAGGGTTGTTCATCTCCACAGCATGTTCTTGTCACTTCCCATCTGTCTCTTCCCATCTTCTCTTCCCATCTGTCTCTTCCCATCTTCTCTTCCCATCTTCTCTTCCCATCTTCTCTTCCCATCTTCTCTTCCCATCTTCTCTTCCCATCTTCTCTTCCCATCTTCTCTTCCCATCTGTCTCTTTCTCTCTCGGCGCGCGTTCCTAGATCAGTGGATAGCTCCATGTATTCCGTTCTTGCTCTTCCATCCAATTTGGGCCTCATAGGCGTTATCCTGCTGCTCGCTCTGCTGACTCGACACCTTCATCTCCCCCAACCACTTACATCAACATACCAATGGAGCAACAGCGCTTCCCATGCCCTCGCGCAGAGGAGCTTTATTGCGAGAAGACGTTCTCCTCCCAACAACATGCAAACAGCCATGCTGAGAGTGTGCACGATGGAGTTAAATACCCCTGTCCACGCGCAAACGAGTTTCATTGCAACATAATGTTCTCCTCGTTAAGTACTGCAAAGAGGCATGCTAAGCGTGTGCACGATGGAGTTAAATACCCCTGTCCACGCGCAGAGGAGGTCCACTGTGACAAGACGTTTTCGTCGACAGATTATGCAAAGCAGCACGCTAAGAGCGCGCATGATGGAGTCGAATACCCCTGTCCAAGAGCAGACGAGCTTAATTGTGACAAGACGTTTTCCACAGAACAAAGTGCAAAGCAGCATTCTGAGAACGCGCACGATGGAGTGGATTGGCCCTGCCCGCGGGCAGACGATCTTCATTGCGACAAGACGTTTACTACCCCAAGTAATGCAAAGGAGCATGCTAAGAGGGTACACGATGGAGTCAAATACCCCTGTCCCTTAGCAGACGAGTTTCATTGTGATAAGATGTTTGCTTCGGCAGCTGCTGCAAATAGGCATGTTGAGGATATGCACAACCCATCCAAAGTCAAATGGCCCTGCCCACGCGCAGAAGAGCTCCATTGCGACAAGACTTTTTCCTCGCAACAAAGTGCACACGGGCATGCTAAGACCGTGCATGCTCAAGTGGAATGGCCCTGCCCACGTGCAGAGCACCTTAATTGCGACAAGACGTTCTCCTCGCAACGACGTGCAAAGGAGCATGCTGACAGGGTGCACGCTCAAGAGAAATGGCCCTGTCCACGCGCAGAAGAGGAGGGGTGTACTGTGGAATTCGCTTCCTACGAGACTGCCAGGAAACACGCAGTGAATATCCATGATAATAAGGGCCCTCACAGCTCCCCGAAAAGGTCGGAAGGATTTCCTTGCCCACGCGCAGAGGAGCATCATTGTGATAAAACGTTCGCCACGCAACGAATAGCAGAGAGCCATGCTGAGAGTGTACACGATGGAGTTAAATACCCCTGTCCACGCGCAGAGGAGGTCCACTGTGACAAGACGTTTTCATCGACAGATTATGCAAAGGAGCACGCTAAGAGTGCGCATGATGGAGTCAGATATCCCTGTCCACGCGCGCAGGAGGAAAACTGCTGTAAAACGTTCTCTTACCGAGGCAGTGCGAATAGCCATGCTAGGAACAAACATGGCAAAGTTGAGCCAGAGGAGACATTTATTGCGCCGTGGCCCAAGACATCGCCACATATTCCCCTCAGAGACGTGGACGGGAAAATGATACCTGGATGGGACAAGCTCCCAGGGCCGTCTTTTCTGAACGGCGGGTGGACATGCCCAAGCTCAGGTTGTCGCACAACGGGCTTGGACATTAGTGGGATAAAAGAGCACTACTTGGCTATCCATATGAGGGCTCGTTGGCACTGTAAGTACGCTGAGATATTGGGTTGTGACGAAATGTTCTCGTCCCGATCCAAGGCCCGAACACACGCATACAAGCATGAGGGTGGGTGGTCATGCCAGTACGATCGATGCCTTGTTCATATACAGGGTAGGAAGCAGACCCGAACAAACGCCTCAGTCCATTACAAGATGCATGTTGAACAAGGACACTTTCAAGAGGGGGAACACAAACCTTTGGAGGTACGTAACAATGAAAGAACAAATGAGTGATCATCGTTAATGGGAACAACAGATCTCGATTGCGCTTTGTGATAGGAATATTGAAGCCGAGGACGATGAAATCGAGAACTCTGAGGATGAAGACGGAGACGGAGAAGATTGGGGGATTGAGTCCGAGGACGACGGAGTTCAAGAGAACTCTGAGGATGAAGACGGAGACGGAGAAGATTGGGGGATTGAATCCGAGGACGACGGAGTTGAAGAGAACCCTGAGGTTGTTGAACCCACTACGGAGTCGGCAGCTGCGTGGCTGACCAGTCCGCCAAAGGACCAAAGCAGTCTCAGAAAAGGTAAGACCTACAAATTGCTGCCTTATACCCCGTTGCTAATTCCCATAAATTAGCTGCTCGGCCTGAATGCCTACACAGCATCGGCCTTAAGTGCCCAGGGCCGGGAAGGGTCCTTGACGGACTAGTGCTTGGTACGCAGGTGTGCCCAAACAGCGAGATAATCTCGCTCGAGACAGGCGTTCTTTGGAAAAGGAATGAGCGTTCGGGGCAGCGTATTGGGCTCAGCTGCCGCTGCGCACCCTGCAATGCGCGGTACAACTTCAACAATTTTCTAATGTCTCGTGTTCTGGAAGCAGATGCTGGTCAGACAACGTGCAGCAATAAGAGCTGCTTCAAATCTGTGTGGGAGGGCACAAAATTTTGCCACGACCACTTTCTTAAGTGGACGCCAGACCTCCTCGGCGAGGACAAAACTGCAAGGACCGAGCTTCTGAGTTTGTTCGAGAAAGCGACCTCCAAGCAGTGGCACCCCAAGACAGATTTCATGGCCAAAATCATCAAGGGGATGGAATCAAACGGCAATATCCCGGCTTCCGAGGTAGTGAATATCGACCTGGAATTTGGTGTGCGTTCCCGGGAGGTGCTCCAAATTGGCCTCGCTGATCTCCAAGGGAAGGGAGTACTCGATTGTCTCACTAGATATAGTGAGGGAATCATCGCGCCTTCTTCATCGCGCCTCCCTACACCGGCAAGTTGGCCGCTAATGAACCATGAAAGGAACGTCAGACGCCTTTCAACCCAAAATGGGTCCCTTAATGCAAAGGAGATCGTCAGAAAACTCCAAGAAATCGGGATTTCCAACAAAACCATTTTCCTGTCTTGGGCGGATTGGGGCTTCGACCTGTCTTATTTGAGAGACTGGCTGCAGGAAGAAGGCTTTCACGATGTTCTCCCCGGGGATGAGAATCTCTGTTTGCTTCTCCAAGAGTTCCGTGATAACGTGAAGAGGGTGCTTGGTCCCACCTGCTTCCGAGGCGGGCGCTTTCCCTTATCCTTATCTGCGGTGTTTCTGCTGCTTTTTGGAGAAAACCATCCTCTCTCGGGGCGCAACCACCATGCACTGGTGGACGCCCAGCAATTAGCGCTGATAGCGCAGGTATTCAACGACCTTTGTAAACCCCCCCACGAGCGGGTTTACTGGCGAAGCTCGTTAATCAAGATGCCCGGCTCGGGGAAGAGGCAGCGACCACTGGAAGAGTTCTTCCCTTCGTTCAGTTCAAACAAAAAGGCAAGGCTTTCGTCAGACGGTTCCTCATGAGATTGTCTCGTTCCTTGCGCATAAGTCCATGTCTACCAATACATCCTTTCTTTCGAATGATTGCTTCCTGGCTCTGGAAACTTCAGACTGAGAATTTGTACGTCCGCAGTCACAATCTGGTTCTGACATATTCTGGTAATTGGTTGTGCTGCTTAAGAAGGAATATCATGATGCCCCGGTGCCTCTGGACAAGCCGCGGGCAAAGTTGAATCAGTGAGCAAGGGATGGCGGTTTGAGAGTGCCCTGTCCGTTGGAGAATGCCCTGGTTCGAGATGCGTTACCGATTCACGAAAATTGAAATGAAGCATTGCGTTTATTCTGCTCTGAACTCCGCGTATTGCACAATTGAAGGATCAACGTATAGAAGCATTGCATAGATGTATCGATCGGATCTTCGTATCATTCAGGGACCTTAATTTCACTTGGAACCCCTGTAGGGAGATCTGATTTTCCTGTCGAGCCTTCACATTCACTCCGGCTTTTTTACTAGCAATACTGGCATCTTAACGGTGCACAGCAAGGGCAATATGACATATGACACTGTCGACGTCGCTAAAGGCATGGATCACAAATGACTCGGACGTATAGATGATCCGAAGAGGACACAAAACAACTCCTGTACGGCAGTCTGTCATCAAATTCTGCCGCATATTTATTACTAATACTGCCAGCCCTATACAAACCCAATACGGTCGACTTGCTTATTTTACTATAAAGGCTACTAAATCCTGGGCACTACGTAAATGTGCAAATTTTTTTTGCTTACGGTGTAAGGGAATGGAAGGGAGTAAGAAGAAAGGAGAATTGTTAGTCCTTACCTACTCGGATAGCTTGCTGGTCTCGTGGTTATAAATATCGTTATATAGCTTGGTCGGACGGCCGACTAACTTATCTACAAGAAGCCACGGGGGCCCGTCCCCCGGGAAGGGGGACAGATTTAAGACTTGCCCGCCGAAGTAACAAGGACAATAAATACCGGGTGCTCGTTTATGGATTCCCTATTGTTAAAGGCGTCTTGTTATCGTACTATAACTTATAACTTAATACAATGGTAGACCTATCGCTTTGAAAGAGAAACATAATTTGATCTTTATAAGGATTAAGCGGAGGTTTACGCCCTACTAGTGTAGTGGAGAGTAGTTAGTACTGTTATAAGGCGGTAGGAAAGACGGTGAGAGATCTATATGGGGAGATGTGATCCAGACTGTCTGTCATATTCCTCTACTTAGAATAACAGAATACACTCCAGCTCACATCAATTCAATACATCTTAAACACCTGCAATACATAAATAAGGACACCCCACTTCGCTGAAACACTCACAGGTTTCAGCCACGCTCTTTCTTTTTTATTCTTGCGAGTCTCTTTGTTAAGCTCGAGGCTATATGCAGATACTTGGATACTGGCATGTAGTATGTAGTATGGAAATAACATACAAAGAAATGTCCTCTATTTTCCACGTTTCACAATCAATCAATCTTTGAAAATTCAAGAATTCCAAGTGTTAGTAGGTCTTTCAGTTCTCAAGAAGTTCTTTGGAAGATCAAATTCAAAGCAGAAGCAATCAAAGCGATAGTGGACTAACACTTTCGCGTGGATCACCCGCGGGGCGGGGCTGAATCTCATCACACTTGCCCTTCACCCTCCACCCTTCACCCTTTTCCTTCTCCCTTCAACTTCTCTCTTTTTGCTCTTTAAGATTCCTGGACCCTCGTTATTTCCATTTCCCTCGCTTGCTTTGCCTTCCCTCTCTCTACGACTCTACGACGCGACAACTCGCCATGTCTGATTTACAAGGTCGCAAGGTCTTCAAGGTTTTCAACCAAGACTTTATCGTGAACGAACAATACAATGTGACGAAGGAGCTCGGCCAGGGTGCCTACGGTATCGTATGGTAGGTCTTGATTCCAGCGACGATACTTGTTGGACGCAGTGCTGATGGTGGAATGAAGCGCGGCTACCAACATCCAGACCGGCGAAGGTGTCGCCGTGAAGAAGGTGACCAATGTCTTCAGCAAGAAGATCTTGGCCAAGCGTGCCCTGAGAGAGATCAAGCTGCTCCAGCACTTCCGCGGCCACCGCAACGTACGTCGTAATTCGTCCCTCGTCGAGTTCCCATCGAGTCCTCCGAGTTCCTCGCTAACCCAGCCAGATCACATGCCTCTACGATATGGACATTCCCCGACCGGACAACTTCAACGAGACATATCTGTATGAGGGTAGGTGATCTTCAACTTCTGTTCTGACAGCTGGACTGACAATCTGCAGAGTTGATGGAATGTGACTTGGCTGCTATTATCCGGTCCGGTCAGCCGTTGACCGATGCCCACTTCCAGTCCTTCATCTACCAGATCCTTTGCGGTCTCAAGTATATCCACTCGGCTAACGTGCTGCACCGTGATTTGAAGCCCGGTAACTTGTTGGTTAATGCGGACTGCGAGCTTAAGATCTGTGACTTTGGTCTGGCCCGTGGTTTCTCGATCGACCCGGAGGAGAACGCAGGCTACATGACCGAGTACGTCGCAACAAGATGGTACCGTGCCCCGGAGATCATGTTGAGCTTCCAGAGCTACACCAAAGCTAGTACGTATCAATGCCCCACTAATTTGCCACCCCCGGAGAACGCTAACAAATCTATACAGTTGACGTCTGGTCCGTCGGCTGTATCCTCGCCGAGCTCCTCGGCGGCCGTCCCTTCTTCAAGGGCCGCGACTACGTCGACCAGCTGAACCAGATCCTCCACTACTTGGGCACACCAAACGAAGAGACTCTGGCGCGGATCGGCTCACCCCGCGCCCAGGAGTACGTGCGCAACCTGCCCTTCATGCCCAAGGTCCCCTTTAAGCAGCTCTTCCCCCAAGCCAACCCAGATGCCCTGGACCTGCTGGACCGCATGCTCGCCTTTGACCCATCGTCCCGTATCTCAGTCGAGGAAGCCCTCGAGCACCCCTACCTACACATCTGGCATGACGCCTCAGACGAGCCCAACTGCCCAACAACCTTCGACTTCCACTTCGAGGTCGTCGAAGAGGTCCCGGAGATGCGCAAGATGATCCTCGACGAGGTCGTTCGCTTCCGTGCTACCGTGCGCCAGCAATCGCAGGCCCACGCTGCCCAGCAGCAGCAGATCGCCCAGCAGACTAACGTCCCCATCCCGGAAAACCAGCAGGGATCCTGGAAGACTGAGGATCCCAGGCCGCAGGAGGCTACCGCTGGCGGTGGTTACAACCCTAATGACCTGGAGTCATCGCTGCAGCGCGGCATGGACGTGCACCACTGATTTAGTTGGGACTTTTTGTCTTCTTTCGAGAGTCCTTCTCTTCTTGATGCTTGTTCGGCGATCTTGTCTTGTGTGTCTTGCCCTGCATGTTGATCTAATTTTAGCCAAGAGATACCTAAGAGAAAAAGACTGGGATGATTGCATGTTTTTTTTTCTCAAGTTTCAATTTCACTTTCTCTTTCTTCTCCTATCTATGTGTGGTTTGGTTGGTGCTCCGTCTTTGACTCATTTATACAATGCGGGATGGTTTATTGGTTTGGCGTATGATTTCCCTATCCTGTATCTCAAGTCTAGCCAGGTAGTTTTGTCATTTAAAAGATTGTTTAACAGCAGAAAAATCAGTGTAAATGAATCATGTAGATGAATCAAAGGGATGGAGTAAGTCAAAAGATGAAATAAATCATAAAATCATATCAATGCTATAGACCCAAGTAGATGTATATAACCCCACAAGATGACGCTAAATGAAACAAAATATCAGGAACTCAACCAATCGTCTAGGATAGAAGCACCCAAAACCTAATAATAATACCCCCTCCACCAAACAGCCATACAAGCCGCAACAACAAGGTCAAGCATCTTAATCCCCTCATCCTCAATAACCAACTTCCCAAGCTTAGCACTCTTCCCCCTAAGTCCACCCCCAGCATTCTCCCTCGCAAGCGAGAGATCCAACCGATCCTCATCAGAATCGAAATCCATATCCTGACCACTACTCGCACTCGTGCTGCGGTGGTGCCGGGATTGGGCTTGGTATCCGGATCCGGGACCGGATTGGGGTGGGTGGCCGTGTGGATTTGCGTAGAAGTGGCTTTGGCGGGCGAAGCGTTGGGCGCGGAGAGATGTGCGGCGCAGGAGGGCTGTTGGGTTGAAGGGTTGTTTTGGGTCTGCTGGCGGGTTGGAGTTGGGATTGTTGGGGGAGGGTTGGAAGGAAGGGGTTGAGCCTGGACCTGAGTGGGCGCGCGGACGGGAGTAGGTGTTTGGGTTTAGGAGGGTTGAGAAAGAGGTGGGGCGTTTGTGCGCTTGGTTGGTGTTGTTGGTGTTGATATAGGATTGTTGGTATTGGGGTTGGGGGAGGCCGTCTGGACCTATCGTTGAAGCTGGGGTTGGTAGGTCGTTGATATCGTTGGAGCGTGGGAAAGTTGGACTCTGCTGGCTTTGCGTGAAGGGTGAGACGTGGTTTGGGTGTGGTTTGTGGACAGCATGGTGGGCGTGCGAGTGCAGGTTGGCTGCTTGGAATGGGGTGTTGAAGCGCAGCTCGGCGACTGTCACGGCGGGTGGTGGTTCCGCTTCGCCGTTTGGCTGAATTGAGCCGCCTGGGTTCGGGATCATGTGTTTGCATTTTAGACTGCGGCCGTTGACACTGCTTGCGAAGGTACAAGTGCCATTCCAAGGCGAAGTGAAGACGTAGTAGCCGCTCTTCAGCTTTGATGGGGGTTCTGGGATATGGCCGTTGCTGCAATCCGGAGAGGCTGAGTCGTCGAACGGCCTCGAAACACAAAGCTGGCGGTGGAACTTGCGAGGTCCAGTTTGCTGTTGTTGTTCTCTTGGTTTTTCGGCACTCAGGGCTTGGGGAATCGCAGAGTTAGACAGACGACCTAAACCTGGCGGGAGGTTGCCAGCCAAGCTGGACAATGAAAGCGGTTCATTAGAACCCACGAAGCGGTTATATCCCGGAGTAGAAATTTCAATATCGACAGCATTGCGGTCCATTCGTGGAGTCGAGATAGTCGCAACATTCCACTGCGTACCAGACGTAGGATCTCGCCGAATAAGCGTAATATGGAAGCCCGCATTGCTGGACGGCGGTCTCTGAGCATTCCTCAACCTTGAGGGAGATTGCCCAGGGCTCCGATTCGGGGATCCTGTGCGGTCATGCGATGAACGAGGTCGCAATTGCGGCCTAGGAGAGTCAAGACTATGACGGCCAGCCGACAACGCCCCATATCTTTCTTTCCACTGCTCTAAACCCTTGCTTTGCAGCTCCAATCCCTTATTCTGCAGATGACCCGCAAACGCGCTCCACCTACTCGACCTTTTATACGGTTCCTCGCCCGCCGAAGCATTAGTCCACGACTCTTCACCAGGAGGGAGAGGAGGTAACGGCCGTCGCGGGACGGCGCCCAAGTCTGTTGGAGCCCCCTCCGGCCCACCATATCCCAGAGGGTGTGCATGAGCAACTGGAGTCCCAGCGAACGAAACATTCTCAGCCGAAACTTGCGGGACGGGGATCGGCCGTGGGGGCAAAGCTGGCGCAGCGGGTTCCTGTGGCAGTGCCGGGAGTTCATGACTGGAATCGGCTCCCACTCCCCCTCCCTCTCCAGCTACAGGCTTCCGGCGAACATTGTTCAGCCGAGCGAATCCGCGCTGCGCGGGGTCGTCCCCTGCTGCTTCGAGACGTTCTTTGCGGAGCTGGGCTTCCTCTTCGCGCTCCTGTTCCACTTCCTGTAGTAGGGTGTCGTCATCGGGCGTTGCGACATGGAGGTAGTAGAGGGAGGCGTTTATAGCTTCAGCGGAGACGCTGGATTTGGTGGGTGGTTTGAGAGGCGAAAGGAAGATATCTGTAGGCAGCAGTTAGCTTATATTTCATTCAAGCTTGATAAGCTAGATGATTTTAAGACTGGAAAAAGCTGGGAAGAGACCGTAGAGATTGGATGGTAGAATTGACATACCCTTGCTCCCTGGTACGCGCACAATGTACAGCGACAGTGGTTCGTGTTTCTCGTGGGTGGGATTGCGTGGGTAGGCGGGGGGATTCGATGCGATCGCGGTGACAGATGACAGTGAGCGCGCCTCGATGGGGCCTTGAGGAACGGTAGTCATAGCGGGCAAGGCCGCGATCAACCCCCGATATGTGCAGAGGAGAGGTTGCAGTTGAGTTGAGGTAAACAATGGGTCTCGGCAGTGAGCGGAGCCCGGGGCTTTCGGATCTATTTCTGTAGCCTGAAGCTGGGGCACAAAGGGACGCAAGGGCACAGAATGCTGCCTATCGTGGCGCAGTACGTGGCCTGCGTTTAATGACGTTGATCTACGCGCCTTTGGGCTGTTACTGTTGGGTATGTTGGTAGTATCTTCATTGCTACACAAGTAAAGTAGTTCGAGAAAAAGAAAGTAAGGAATGCAATCCGGAGGGAATATGAGGGTGTGCAAAAGAACTCCAAGCTGTAACGCCGACAGGCCCACCAATATGAGAAAATAACCAAGGCATCGTGTATATATTAGACGACAGTCTCAGACCGTTCGCCTTCCGCAATGATAGGTACGCCCAAACCGCGATCTGGACTTTGTAGCACGAGCTGCTCATGACGTCGTGCCCGGAGGAAGTCGCTGACCGCGCGGATCAAGATGAACCATCCAACAATCATGAGAATATATGAGATCCATTCGCTTGTTGTGATGCCGGATATCGCGCCACTGCTATCGCCGCCAGAGCTCTCACCAACCGAGTTCGGGTCGAAGCTGTGGCTGTTGGGATCAGGCGGAGCAACGTATGAATCATTGCCTCCACCTTCGGAGCCTGAACTGTCACTGCCGCCTTTCATGTAGAAACCGTACTGAACAAGAGTGAGACCGAGACCCGCTCGGCTGCCGTTCTTTGCGGCATGGGTGGTATGCAAGAGATAGGTGAGCAAGAAGCCAACCAGCTGGAACGACATTGAAATCATGGCGTTCCACACGAATGAGAAGACAGATCCAACAGGCAATCCGTCCACGAAGACTTCATCGGACGAAATACCAGGCGCCACAATGGTGGTTTCCCAGTATGGGGGAGTCGCATCAGCCGCAGCTTCTTCGTATGACTATAAATAATATCAGTTAAGGGATCACCTAAAAAACGACAGATTATGAATCGCCAACGTACAGGAGGAAGATCCTCGTTCTTCTCACCCCGCTCGGGCTTGGCTGCAAGGTTGGCAAAGACACCATCATTAGACGGAGCGATCTGCCTCTGTCCACCAGAAGACGGCGTCGTAAAAGTCGGTAGTATCGTAGGCCGCCGTAGAATCCCAGAACGAGCCTGTTCCTGTGCATCGCCCCTTGAATCCGATGACGAAGCAGAAGCACTTTGTCCGTTATCAGCCGAACGGAAATCAGGGTCCGCACGCATCAAGCGCTGCCTATCATCAGGCTCATGGTCATCATCAGACTCATCCTCGTCGCCAAAGGCATCAGCGAGCGTCTGATCGTCATCATTATTTAACGGATCATTGTGTAATAAGCGCCTGGACGATGGTGACGAAGATCGAGACCGGGAACGGAACGAGGGAGGCGGCGATGCATCAGATTGCGCAGGGTTCAGCGGATAGGAATGCGGTCCTTCCTCTTCATCATGGGCGTTCACCTGCAGGATTCAGCGTCAGTATCGTGTGGAGGAGTCACATCCGGGGGATGGCGATTCCGGGGTGACAGATGAGATCAGCGGAGGGGGCTGCGTACCCGTGAATAGCGCTGCGAGCTCATGGCGAGCTGAGCGGGAAGAGACCGTAGAATAGAACAAGAAGGAAAAGGAGTCGAAGTGGGTCAGAATAGAAAGTGATAACGAGAGTAAAGGGGGATGAAGAAGATGTCAGAGTTGGTTGGAAGGCAACAGGAATGGAGTGGCTGAGCCAGCCTGAAGAATCAGGCTAACAGGGATTTCCGTTTTGCCTCGATCGTTCTCCAACGTTGTAGACTACACAACACTGCAATCATTCACCATGTCTAAACCAGTGAGTCTCCAAGCCCTATTCTGTTTTCACTTACGACATGACCCCCACCATTCAAACTTCACTTCCTTTCGAATACTCGTCCTAACAACCATCCAGACCCTCAACCCAAGCTCCCTCCAAAGCCGCCTAACATATCTCCTAAAAACCTGGCCCACCGACGCCGTCCGCCCATCCTCAGTCTCTGTCCAATCCTACATCCAATCCCGCCTCCAGCCTGCAGACAAGTCGACTCCAGCGATCTCCGAGTCCTCCGCCAATGCTCTGACGGCATTGCTAAATGACCGCTTCGCGCGCGTGTATCCTCTATCACCAAAGCTGCGCCGGCCGGCGAGTAATCCCGACCACTATGATAATGTTGTGCGCGAGTTTGCGGAGGCGCCAAACCGGGATTGGTTTGGGCGGTTAAAGAAGAGATTGGCCGGTATTATTCGGTTGTCGTGATTGATGTCGCTTGTTTAAAGACTTCGTTTTTGGGGATATTGCTTGTAACAGTATCGAGATTTTATTTGATGGGTTGTATGACATGTACCAATACCTTTTGCCTTTTTCTTTTCCTTTTTTTTGCCTTCAGTTCTTCTTGGCTGTTGTATTCTACTCTACTTATCTAACTTACTATCTACAAAACTTGAGAATAAACTTGAAGCATATCCAGACATATATATATCCATGGGAATGCATTTTGAACAATCTAACTCCGAAAAAGACCAAATTGCTATGTACATTGATAGCGAACCCAAATGCACGCTTTAACAAAATCATACAAGTCTGCAGGTAAATTCACATTTACAGCATGGGCTTCAGATCCTCGGCGACCTTGAAGGGAGCCTCAGTCTTAGCCTGGACCTCCTCAACGGTAACACCGTCAGCGATCTCAATAAGGGTCAGGCCGTGGGAGAAGTCAACATCGAAGACACAAAGGTCAGTGATGATGCGGCTGACACAGGCAGGGCCAGTCAGGGGGAACTCGCAGTTCTTGACAATCTTGGGGTTACCCTTCTTGTCGGTGTGCTCCATGGTCACGACGACCTTGGTAGCGGTGGGGTTGGAGACCAGGTCCATGGCACCGCCGAAGCCCTTGATCTTACCGGGGAGCATCCAGTTGGCCAAGTCACCCTTGGCACTGACTTGCATGGCACCCAGGATGGTCAGGTCGATACGGCCGGAACGGATCATGCCGAAGGACTCGTCACTGCCGAAGCAGCTGGCACCGGGCTTGAGAGTGACGGTCTCCTTGCCGGCGTTGATGAGGTCGGCATCCTCCTCACCCTGCTTGGGGTAAGGGCCGAGGCCGAGAATACCGTTCTCGGACTGCAGGGTCACCTCGACGGAGGGGTCGACGAAGCTGGGGGCAAGCATGGGCATACCAATACCCAGGTTGGCGTACATGCCGTTCTTGAACTCCTTGGCGGCACGGCGGACAATGCGCTCGCGCTTGTTAGCGGTGTCACCCTTGCCGAGGGCGGACTTGTCAGCGCCCTCCTCCTTGGCGAAGGTGAACTTCTCAATCTTCTTGTCGAAGGTGCTCTGGATAACGCGCTTGACGTAGATACCGGGCAGGTGAATGGCGGCGGGATCAATCTCACCGGGCTCGACGATGTGCTCAGCCTCGACAATGGTCATCTTGGCGTTGCGGCCCATGGCACCGTTGAAGTTGGCAGCGGCGTAGCGGAACTGACAGTTACCGAGCTTGTCGGCCTTCCAGGCCTTGACGAAAGCGTAGTCACCCTTGATGGACTCCTCCATAACGTAGCTCTTGCCGTCGAACACCTTGGTGTCACGGGGCTGGCTGAACTTGGCGACGGTGCCGTCCTCGTTGTGGCGCAGGGGCACAGCGCCGGTCTGCACAACAGTACCGAAGGCAGCGGGGGTGTAGAAGGCGGGGATACCCGCACCGCCGGAACGGCAGCGCTCAGCGAGGGTTCCCTGGGGAGTGAGCTCGAGCTCGATCTCGCCGGTCAGGTACATCTTCTCGAAGGTCTTGTTCTCGCCGACGTAACTGGCGATCATCTTCTTGATCTGCTTGGACTGGAGGAGCAGGCCGAGACCGGCTCCGTCGACACCGGCGTTGTTACTGGCCACGGTCAGGCCAGTGATGGAGGGGTTAGCCAGGACGGCGTTGATCAGGGTGTCAGGAACACCGGACAATCCAAATCCACCAGCCAGAAGGGTGGAGTTGGACTTCATGTCCTTCACGGCGACCTCGGCGGAGGGGTACACCTTGTTGATCTCACTGCGGCGGACGCTGCTGGAGAAGGCGCGGGCCATGAATTGTTGGTGCTGTTGACACAGCTGTCAGTCTCCGATTGCATTCTGCTGCAATTTAGCTCGCGAACTTACCTTGGCCGGGTTGGCTGAGAACTGGCGCGCAAGGCGCAAACATGTGGCCACTTGAGAAGGCATTGTGAATAGCTTCAGGAATTCTGTTGAGAAGAAGACCAGGGACCCAAAGAAGTTATTATAAGAACCAACGGTCCAGAATACGGCAATGTCAGCTTCTTATAATCCCGAGCGGCAGTGAGGGCGGAAAGAGTCCCGAGTGATATTCGTTTCCCCGGAATTGTGGATACCCGGTAGCTCCGCCCTCTATGAAGTGTGTTGATTCAAGTCCTATTACCCCTGATCTCGGGCTTTTTCGTTTCTAGAAAAAAAGACATCCATCGCTTCGATTCTTCGTGTCTATGTCCTCTTTTTTTGCTATTCAATTTCTCGCAAATCACCCTGTCGGCGGCACGACTACCACATTGTCCAGCTATTGCCGCTGCCGAAATTCACAGCCGATCCGATTCCGATCCCGCGGCAACGCGTCGGATGCAGATAGTATTAGCGGCCATTTGGTCTATAACTTTACCGCCCTGCTTCCCGCCTATCTTGTATTGCCTTTAGACCCTGAATCACTGCGTTGTTTGTACTTATAGGATTAGCATGATGGTAAGAAAGATCAACGAGATGCTATTTTAGATGTCCAGTTAGAAATACCCTTAGATTGAACTGTTATAAGGTGCTTCTTTGGGTGTAGGAAGTTCTTTTCTAGGCACTGCTTAACATGAATATACACTATAAACTATAAAAGTTACCAAATATAAGTCTGAGATGACATCAATCTTATGACCTCCA